CGTTCCCAGACCGTTGCCCGGGAACGGTAACGGCCCGTTACCAGTTACCCTAGAACGGGAGTAACGATCGGGCGACTTCCTAACGTCATGAATCCCATAGCCTCGGCCCTCAAGAGCAACTATTGGGGGTACCCTTGTGTCCGCAAGTGCTACTATTCGGGATACCGTTGGGTTCTCAAATGCTAGTATTAGGAAATACGTTTGGGTCATCAAGTGCTGGTATAGCGGGGTACACTTAGACCAGTCAGTGCAAGCGTTGCGCGATACACTTGGCCTAACCAGTGCAAGTGTTGCGCGTTACCATGGGCCCAACCAATGCAAATTTTGCGCCGAACCATTGTGCTCTCATGTTCAATTGCTAGTAATGCGGGTTTTCTTGGCCTGACAACTGGCAGAGTTGCGCGGTACCGTGGTCCAATCAATGCAATTTTTGCGTCGAACCGTTATGCCCTCAGGTTCAATTGCCAGTAATGCGGGTTTCCTTGGCCCAACCACTACCAGAGTTGCGCGGTACTGTGGACCCAACCAATGCAATTTTTGCGCCGAATCCTTTAGCCCTGAGGCTCAATTGCTAGTATTGGGAGTTCCCTTGGCCCAAGAAGTACTAGAGTTGCATGGCACCGTTGACCCAACCAGCGAACGTGTCGCGCGGTATCGTGGGCCCAACTAATGCAATTTTTGCGCTGAACCCTTTAGCCCTCAGGCTCAATGGCCAGTATTGGGCTGGCCCAATAAGTACTAGAGTTGCGCGGTACCCTTGATCCAACAATTGCTGATGTTGTCAGTACCCTTGGCTCCTGAAGTCTTTACTATTCTGGGGCACCCTGAGGTCCTGAAGTCAAACTATTGGGAGGTACTCTTCGGTCCTCAAGGAGGACCCGAAGATACCCTGCAATGGTAACACTTGATGAGCCAAGGGTAATCCACGATAGTAGGACTTCAGTATCTAAGGGTACCCGTTTGATGATGAGAGACACTTACATATCCGTTACCCCGTTCCTGGGTAACTGGCAACGGGCCGTTACTGTTCCAAGGTAACTGGGAAGAAAAAGTTACCGTTACCCGGGACCGTAACGGGAGCTTTCCACCCCTAGTCACAACAAAGTATTCCAACAATTATAATTGTTGTACGTTTTTTTGAGTTGCATGATAAGAACAAAAGATAGATTTTGTCCTTGCTATCAACAATTAGTCATTATTTTCTACTTTTGCTCTCCATAGAAATCAATTATCTTAGCTGTTGATTCAAATTTTCTCAAAGCTTCTCTTTAGACTGAAATATATTTTTCGAGTGACACTGAATAAGTCGATTTTTTTCTTCCGTGCATCAACGGGTGTTTATTTTTTTCGTCATACATCACACTGTGATGCAAAAAATTCAGATGACTCATCATTTACAGGAACTGTGAAACATACGTTTTTATATATAACGGTCACGGTTTCCAATGATGCTGTGGTTCTTATCAAAAGAATTGATAAAGAACGCTCCGCTTATATACTACAAAGACAGGGACTATGTATTCTATACACTAATAAAATCCAAAATAGATTATTTTTTTATTTGTGTATATCAACAGACAGGAACTCAATTTATAGGTGTAGATGCATTTTCGACGGTATACATATGATCATATAATAATAGATCGTTGAATATAATATTGAGAAACCAATTAGTAACAAAAATATGTGATTTCTCCTATTTAAAATTGAAATTGAAATATTATATGTAGATGAAATCTTAAAAAAATACCGAAATATTTTCATTTCCTTCGTAAGAAAATATATAAAATTTCGAACAATTATTGTATTCTGAATATGTTAAGTTTATGTAACTACATAAGCAACACGAAAATTCGCACATATCACTTTCATGTGTGTCTCATCGCAAATCGTGAATATTGCCTACGATTCTTCTGTTGAAAAGATGTTAAAAAATGAACGTATTCACAAATAAAATGAAATGTGAAGGTACCAAAAAAATACTAATACAAAACATAGTAAATCGCAGTCGATATTCATCTTTTGATAAGGTTTTTGGCCAAACGACATGGTGCGTTATTTGTATATGTTGAGTGTGACTGCGAAAGTATAATACAGGTACCGTGTGCAATTTTATCGAAAAAAAAACTTCCAACTAACTGATTTCGGGGATACTATTAATACCGCTTCCGCACACCCTTTTACCAGCATTGCATAAATAATTTCCAATATAATTCGTATCGACCATTAACACATGGATTTGGACACTTGAATAACTCAATTCTTCGTTTTCAAATATAAGTATTCAACATTTTTTGATATCGACATTTCGTGTATGTTTTAACAAATCATGCGTATTTAGTCAACCTTTGTGACCTTCCATCGTTTCATTGAAAGGAAGGCTGGACAGTTACTCGCGTGGACGTGGATCTGAGTAAGTGTCAGTGTACTGCGTTTCTACATCTACTTAAACACCAGCATCCGTATCCGCACTCGCAAGAAAATGCTTCTACGAGTAGCTATCCTAAATCCAATTGAAAGTTAGTTTCGTCAACTTGTCAATGTTTGCTGGGAGACATTTAACCTTACTTCAGCAGTGATAGGGTTCCCAAGGATTCTTTTTCTATATAAAAAATTGACTGATTCTCTGTTTAGTACTCAGCAACTCTAAAAAACACTATATCAAGCGACAGACAACCTTAGTTTTTTGCCATTTATCAAAAGAAATCCTACAGGGTGTTCCAGAAATAACCTACCAACAGCTTTTTCGTATATCTTTGCTATTTCATTTAACTTGATCAACAATTTCTTTTTAAATTATAGGTGAATATACCGAGTTTTTATTTATCCGAACGATCTTCCGTATTATTGCGTAAAACTATCATCTTGGATCGAGATCGATATACAAAAATTTTGGTTTCTTTGTAAGATGCGAGTAATTCAAAAATCGACTAAGGTTTTTTCTTTAATGTTCTCATATGGTTAGATAGAGCTTGTCGATTTCTACAAGAATATGTAGATTGAAAAAAATTTAAACCTTTTCTTTGAAGCAAAATTTACAGAAAGCAACTGTAGAAAGTCGAAATAATTAGAGAAAAAAACGCTATATAGTGTTTTTCTGGAAATATAAAGAAAGTAAAATTTTTGTATCCCGATGCAAGGTGATAGCTTTGCACCATAATATGGAAGATGGCTTGGATAAATAAAAACTCGGTATATTCACCTATAATTTAAAAATAGTTGTTGATAAAGTTAAATGAAATAATGAAGATATGTGAGAAAACTTTTGGTAGGTTATTTCTGGGACACCCTGTATATCTCAAACACAAACGATAAAACTGACATCCTACTCTAACTGTTTTTTTTTTCAAAAATTTTCTTTTTGGCGTTTCTTCCTTCTTTGTTTTGGAAAAAGAAAACATCATCTTGTAGAAAATGAGGAAAAACGAAGCCAAATACAAAATGTTGGAAACAAAGAAACGGCGTGAAATACCAAATAATATTATACTATACTAACTTGTAGGATGTTGACGAGCGGTATTATACAGAATTTCATCATTTAAAGTGGACAAAGATGGACGATTATTTGATAGAATATCATCAGAAGCAGCAAAACCTAAAATAAATCAAGGTAAGCTACAAGAAAGAAACTCTAGAAGATATATTTTTACCTGAGATGAAATTAGTTACGTCACTAGCACCGATATCTTGAATATCTATAGTATCAACAGCTTGAGATGACTGAGCGGTTGAATCTTAAATAAAAAAGTACTCATATGAAAAAAAAATCTCTTAACCTGTTATTCTGCGACGTCAAAATCCGGTAAATTTATTTTCTTAGGATCCGTCATAGATTCTGCAAAATAATATTGTCGAGTGTGAGAATAAAGCAGTTGTATTTGGTAGCAAACTCGGTCATTGATATTTTCGAGAAGAGTCACAAAATCAGTTATCATGAGATAAAGTTATCTTTTTTCTGCACAATGTTTTAGTCATACAAATGACAGAGAAGAATATTTGCTCAATATAATCAGTTGTTCTGAACTAAGTTTCAAGCAAAATTATTACTACCTATTCTTCGATTTTGTTTAATAGTATTATATCAAATATTTTTTCAAATTCGGATAATTTTATACAACTCTTAAAGTGAAATTTTAATTATTTAAAGACGAATTTTTCATTTATGAAATAATAATTTGGCATTTTTTTCTTATTTTATAGAATGTCTATCACAAAAAATGGCTTTATCGTAAATGATATTACAATTGATAAAATTACCAACCAAAAGAAATAATCAGAGGTTAGAATATTTCATATGATTCCTAAGATGAGAATAAAAAACCTTTATATAGTTGAGACTTATATTTAATTGAGCAATAAAATAATTTAAATGAGCAATAATGAAATTTAGCAATAAAAAAAATCAAATGAGAAGTTATGAAATTTAGCAATAATTATATGGAATGAGCAATAATTTATTTAAATTAAAGTTAAATTTTATATAAGGTAGATTTTATATAAAAAGGGTGTTATAGTGTGACTCGCTTATATATCTTTTCTTCCTTTCTTCTCTTCTACGATGTCATACAGATGACAAGTAGAACACATATATGTCGGAGTTGACTTTAAAATATTTCAAAATCAACTGATTGCCTTTTTAATTCAACTAGTTGAATTCAAAAATTTATTTTGAAGTCAACTAATTGATTTTAAAATATTTTAAAGCCAACTAGTCGCCTTTAAAAGGAGGCCGAATTTTAAAATCAACTCCAATATATACATATATCTTTTGTTTGGCTATATCCAAATTGCGGCCAAAAATTAAGCCAATTAACACATAAGTAGCCGCAATGCGGAACACAAAATTTTTTGTTGATCTCATTTTTTGTGTTTCCAAATTGCGGCTACTTTTGATTAACTAGTTATAGAAAGAGTAGATTATGAGTTCTGTTGGATCTATAATATGTATATATATATGACATAAAATCTTGAAAATAAAAAATCATACTATATATCAAACTATGAATACAAACTTTACTTGGTCAACAACCGAAAAAGGTGAAAAAGCCATTTTATATGAGAATTACTTATATCGATTAAAACGTGAAAATCAGAACGGTTCATTAATTTTTGTCTGTACTTCCAAATGGTGCCATTGTGCTATTACTGTTAAAAATGATTTAATTATAAAATCAAAGGCTGGAAATCGTAATCATGATCCAAAATTACCAGAAAATGTTCAAAGAGTACTTTGTGGATTGAAACGTCGAATATTAACTGATATTGATCAACCTGTTACAAAAATTTATGAAGAAGAAGTAAAAAAATTTGTAAGTACTTGTTCGTTTCATTTGTACAGCATTAGATGATTGTATTTATTTTATTTAGAGTCGTGGAAATGGTACAGCTGGTCCAATTCCAGTCTTCGGAGCATGGAAAACAACTTTGTACTCTATTCGTAAAACAATATTACCTCCAACACCAACATGATTATCGTCAATTATAATTCCTGATGATATGTATTACAAGAATTTGAAACAAGAATTTTTATTTTGCAATTCACCAACACCAAGAAAAGTTATAGCATTTGCATCAGAACAAGGACTAAAATTATTAGGTAACAATCAACATTGGAACGGTGATGGAACTTTTCGAACATCACCTGCACTATTTACACAATCTTACTATATACATGTATGAGATGAATTTAGCACGAAACAAATAATTTATTCATGTTGTGAAGATAAAAAAGAAGAATCTTATCATGAATTACTTCAATCATTACTTATCCATGCCACAAAAAAAAGATTACATTAAATCCAACATCAATTTTAATAGTTTTTGAACAAGGTATGATCAATGCCATTAATGATATATTTCCACATGCATTAGTTAAAGGATGTCATTTCCATTATGCACAAAACATATGGAAGAAAGTTAAAAAATCTAATTTAGTAACATTATCAAAAGAAGAAAATATTTGTCGTCAAATAGCAAATATTGTAGCATTACCATTAATACCTCCGAATGAAGTTTATAATTCCACGGAGAAGATTATTGATGAATTATGTGATTATGATTCAAAATTGTATAAATTAACTGATTATGTTTTAAAAAATTACATTGACGATGCTCGATTTTCATTACATATGTGGAATCATTTTGATACTATTGGTGAAAGACCACGTACAAATAATCATTTAGAAGGTTATCATCGACAATTAAATGCAAGGGTAAGAACACATCCTGATCTATGGACGTGGTTTAATGAAGTCAAATCATCAGGAGAATCTGTTATATGTCGTTATGAACTAGAACAAGCACAAAAACGAACAACAAGACCAAGAAAAGCAAAATATACACAAGATGATAATAAACTTATGTTAGCAAAAACAAAATATATTCAAGATGAAGATTTCGACGCCTACCAAAAAACTTTACGAGCTGTTTCTCATCGCTATATTCATGTGATAAAAGATGCTAAAGATAGTATTGATGAAGAATATTTTTTTTTTGTTATTTATTTTTTCATTAAATATTTTTTTCAATTCAAACTGTTGATTACTTGATAACTAAAAAGTAGCCGCAATTTGGAAACACATAAAAAATGAGATCAACGTAAAATTCTGTGTTCCAAATTGCGGCCACTTATGTGTTAATTGGCTTAATTTTTGGCCGCAATTAGGAAGCTACGTTTTGTTATCTTTCTCTCTTCTTTTCATTCCCTCACTTGGATATTTTTCTTCTCTTGATGTTGTTCACGTATATTTCCTTCTTCGTCATGTTTTCTTTCTAGGGTGTTTGGTTTTCATCTAGCTCATTCATATATATAATTACGATTTCTTCAATAAAGTAGTAGTTCAGTATTGATGTGTTAGATCAATCACCCGTTAACAAAGGGCAATATGAATTCATTTATATATACAAATACGCATTTCTTCAATTTTACAAAATAAAATATAAAAAGAAAAGGAAACAGACTATCTAAAGTAAAAAAAGCTTTACTTACACAATAATATACTGTTTTTTCATTTTTTTTCAATTGTAAATAACTTTTTTATTTCTCTAATTCATATAAAATAATGTTGTTTTTCTTTGTTTTATTGCTAAAATATGAAATTACTATTGCTACTTAATGAATTAGTTATTGTACATTTAATAATATAAAATTATTCAAATAAATTTTTTTTATTGCGCAAAAACTATTGCTCAAATAAAGTTTTTTTGTTGCTCAAAAATTATTGCTAAATCGTATTTTAATTGTTGCCAATTCCACTATTTTTATTACTCAAATAAATACTAGCCTATAGTTGATCATAATTTATAATACAAACGTTTGAGAAAAAAATTATAAATAAAAACAAAATGTTTCTTATACTTTACAAATTAGAATCTTTCTTCCAAATCATTTTTATAATATTTAAAATTTTCTCTATTTAAGTCCATTTGTTCCACCACTGATAAAGAAAGTGATCGACTAGAACTTATAATTATGTTTCCTGGTACATTATGAATTTAAATTTATTTAAGAGCAATTAATGAACAATTTCCTCCCGTCGCACACAATTATTGTTTTTCATATTTGATAATTACAAGAGCAATTCATATTCTTATATGGATTAAATATTTCCATATATTTTTATTCTGTTAATTACAATTTTAGTAAGTTTATGTCTCTTAAATACTAAAATTCAACCATGGTTTCCATTACCATCAAATCTTATCAAT